AGTTTTCTTGATTTATTCTGCAAATATCGGTAAAATATAGGAAAGGCTTTGGTGAAATTTGAAAGAGCAACTAATGTTCTTCATCCTGGTATTTTTTATAGATTGAATTTTTCATTCTATTCGTCTGGTTTTTCCAGTTTAAAGAATATGAGCTGGCTGGAGCCTTCATTCCTTGTCTATTTCTTACACTAGATACCACCCCCCCCCCCCTTCATAGGGAGTGCGTACAGTTGATTATAGTTCCTGGGCTCCCTGTGATTTTACTTGAATCATGTACGTAGTATCAACTTTTGGTCTGTCACTCCCAACAAACCAATATTACATTCACACTGTACTGTCTAATCCAGAGTTGCATTGCATATTACAGCGTATGACACGGTGGGGGTGTGTACAAATCCTCAGCAGTCACTGGCTTGCTAGCTGTTGTATATACATGTATCTGGTAGCGTCGCTTATGTTTGGGCTTCGAAGGCAACGTTCAGCACCATCAATGTCGTGAAAGCCATTGACGTTGCTGAACCCTGAACATGCATGTAACATAAATTTCAGTTGACCTCACTGTGATGACACATGTGTTGTGGAATACGGAAAGGGGGCCGAAGCATGCACACTGCATACACAATATGCTAATAACCTTTAACAAGGTCATGACTTAGACATATCTCATATTATTTGAAAGTGAAATTATTAATAGAAAGCATTTAGTATGAATCACCGGAATGACGTATATTTGGTCTTGACCCCCACTCTGTCTATTATGGTTACCGGTTTTTGAAGACTGTAAACGCTTTCTATCCTACTAAACTGGTCACCAAATTTAACAATTGCTTTCTCATTTTACTATACAATCTGAATGAACTAAGGCAAGCTGAAATAGGTCTTGTTAAAATACAGCGCCACCAGTGGCTGTTCCCGGCTCCATGCATCCAGAGTTATGGGGAAACCAGAATTGAATTGCATATTACAGTGTATAACATGGGAGTGTGTACAAATCCTCAGCTGTCACTGGGTTGGTGTGGTTTGTTAGCTGTTGTATCCAGTAGCGTTGTTTATGTGTGGGCTTTGAATACGAACACAATTTTCAGCACCATCAATGTGGTGAAACCTCATTGACAATGCTGAATGTTATGTTGCATGGAACGTTGATGACACATGCATTGTGGAATACGGAAAAAGAGCCTGAATTATGCGCACTGCATACACAATATGCTAATAACCTTTAAAGAGGTTATAACGTAGCATATCTCATGAATATTATTTGAAAAATGAAATTATTAATAGAAAGCATTTAGTATTAAACGCCGGAATTGCGTATATTCACTTTTTACCCTCATACTGTCTATTGTAGTTATTTGAAGACTGTAAACACTTTCTATCTATCTCGTCACCTAGTTTAACACCTGTTTCTTCGGTTTACACTCAAATCTAAATGAGTAACGGCAAGCCTCAATAGGTCTTGATTGTATATAGCGCCACCAGTGGCTGTTCACAGCTCCATGCATCCAGGAGGAGTGACTGCAAGATTATTCTAGGCAGTTCTCACTTTTTTCCTAGGCTGAGAGTAATTTTTGCCCATTGCAATTCCTGCCTTTTAACAAGTGTGAAGACAGTGTATGGTTTGATTCATGCACGATTCAGTTACGATTAATAATCGTGTTGATGGGGTTTCCCCCACGAAATTTTAGCACATATGCTTCTTTAGCCACACTTTATGTATTGCAATTAAATCACAAAATTGATAAATTATAATGACAAATATCTAAATGACTTTTTCTCTTTGTAGTGTATTCCTTAGTAGAAAGATCCATGCAGATAATCAGAAAAATAGTCTGTAAAAAAGACATTGAAGACTTAGAAATACCAAAACCATTAAAACACCAACTTTTACATCCAGATGATTTACCAGTATGGTACCCAGATGAGAACCCAGAATGTGTCCTAGCAGAGGAAGATAATGACCAAGGATGATATTTCTCACATCACATTTCATTAATGACAGTGGACTGGTAACATAAACAGAGGCCCTTCATGGATCAACATCAAAAGATAAAGTTTTATGGATACCAAGAGAAATATGCCTTCCTGACTGGTAAAGATTATGTTCACAGATATATAAACACAGAAGACCACTTTTCATACCAGTTACTGTATAACCAGCTGGAGTGTCTTCACTCACTTCCCAGGGATATGGTTGCAATTCCGAGGATGCATTAACATTTTAGTGTAGCAAGTCCTGATGAGAAAATGAAGAAGAGTTGACAATATTTTCTGTGTATCTTTATTACCAATGGGACCCATTCTTCTACTTAAATAGGGATGCTGGAAGCAGAATATGTAGGGAACGTAATCCCTGGTTGCAGTGCAGTAGAGTGATCAATGTATAACTGTTTATGAAAATATATATATATTTTATTTACATGTTGTTGTGATAGTAAATAATAAATGTTTGCACTAATTAACAATTTTCAGCATGTTTTGTTTGCACCAAACCTTTTACATATACATACATGGTTGAGTATCTGTTAATAGTTTATAATTATGTACATAATAACTAAGTAATTTGCATTGACTAATTAATTTATTCGCCTTTTCATGATGTTACACACGTTATTTGATTAACATTCTAACCAGTATTGGATCAGCTTGTGTCAATACTACAACTATTGGCATATTGCCAGCTGCTAGTAAACATTTAGACTGAAAATGTGCGTTCAATACTTCAATATGTGTGCCTTAGGCGCAATATACGGCGACATGCAGCTGGTCATCATTTTATATCATTTGGCAAGTCCAAAACACTGTGTAAAATGTTTAATACAAGAAGCATGCAAATGGTATTCTGAATGTAAACAAGATCAATTGTAGAAGGGTTCTGTATTTAAGCAATATTCTGAAATCAACTGAAATGTGATATACAGTTATGTTGATGAATATCAAATAGTTTAAACCTGTGAGGGGGTTGTTATATAGTGGTTATCAGTGTCCATCAATATGGAGTCATATCAGGAACACTATTGCAGATATTGAGCTCATGATCTGATCAACATATTTAATAACCATATATGGTCATGTGTCCTCATTAAAAATGCATAATTATTGTATATGGAGCAGTATTGCAAAGACATTAAACCAGTGCTTTTTTTAAGATACTACGCTCACAATCTGACATACCCCTTTAATAACCATTTAGTTATGAGACTTAATTAAAAATGCTTATCCACTTTGTCGAGCGGAGCTTATCATATGAGTGATTGTCGTCCGTGTCAACTTTTTCAACTTCTTGAAAACTACAATTCTTATTGCTTTGATACTTAGTGTATGTGTACCTTGGGCAGACCTCTCAGATTTGTTCATTTTGTGATATTTTCAATTCTCTAATTTTGATGAATATTGTTTGGTAAAAAGTGATATTTTCGACTTCTTGTTAAAGTCTGATTGCTTGATTGCTGATCAATTCAGACTTGTAATTTTCAAGAAGAAGTTGAGAAAGTAAAAAGTTGACACGGACGAGGACGCACAATCACTCGTATGATAAGCTCCGCTCGACAAATTCGACAGCGGAGCTAAAAATGTAAATTGCAATTTTCCTACATTTGTGGAGCTCTTTCATCTAGAAGCATTATGTTGTTTGCCTGGATTTCTCCTTTAAATAGATTAGGAAGAAAGCAAGGATTTCCAAACTAGACAGCAGTTGAAGAAAGTTTAATCAACTATGTGATAAAAAGAATACAATCACAAGAACCAGTACAATTAAAGAAAAAAAATAGAAACTTGGTTCACAAATTTGTACAGCTCATGATTACCGAATGTTAAGTAATTATAAAATATTACAATAAATTCTTGCATCTTCATTCGGATTTGAATTTGCAAAAAACACTTGTCACATCAAGGAGGAGGAAACCAAATGTTTGTTATTAAAAGTAAGAAAAGAGTAATCTATACCATACAGAATGCATTTAATGTTAATCACAAGCTTCAGCACAAGGTGGCTGGGTAAAATTGGATTTGAGGATGCAGTGTTCAACATAAAGCGTGATACTAACTTTGTGATACACAATAACATCTTAAGTGCATGTAAATAATAATTCGCAATCGCATATTATCAGTTGGCATTTGCTACACATTGAAGTTGCTCTCTGAGTTATTAGTTTTGAGTTTATTGGCATATCTGAACTATTGTGCTAATAAACCTTAAAAAAAAAATTACTTGTACAGTATATCAGAGTGTCTCAACAAAATAATTCACCCTTGTTTATAAAATCCATTCTACAGTGGTGGGGTGTCTCACAAGAGTACTAATGATTCTTTTCATAAAAGCTCTATGGTATATGGACTAAAGAAGCATGTGATAAATGAGAGGCCTAAATTGCATAATACCTTCACTCACAGGATTATGTAACTATGGAAACATCATTTAAGGGTATAAACACAATCTCCAATATAAAAAAAAAACTTCATTAAAAACAAAGGAACAATATGTTGGCTTGTAGAGGGCACTGTACAATGAAGTTATACTCGGTAGTTTATAAGCCTTGGTAAAGGTTGACACTGAGATAATCTTTTACGATCTGTAACATCTGATTCATGTGTGACCATGCCCTCTACAGACCAAACATGGAAATAATAAAAGAGTTACAACAGTCAAGAACTAGCCAAAATTATACACACTTGGTCAAGCAGATTGACCCGTATAACTGTTAAAGATCAATTGTTAGTTTTTCCAGTTTATTTAAGCGTCACAAGCCGAGAAAAGTAAAATAATCTCCATTCATTGATCAGTTTCAATTTTGTCTATTTCCTTAAATTTTACTCTCATGGTGACAGCACTTCAAAAGACTAATCAAATTCATGGTCAATAGATGATAGCTACTTCATTGGTAGACCATTTCTATGTACAATGTAGATGTCTTGGAGACATGAGAAAGTGCATAAAATCTAAGCTAGTCTGAAAACATAAATAAAAGGCACTTTAAACACAAGATTGAGAATCAGCAACCAAAATAAAGTAGAAAACACTAGCCTTACATGTTCAATCAAATATATATACACAACAATAAAAAAAGGAACCTTTTAATACCAGGGGTACAAAATAAAAATGAACATTTCATTGATGTTAAGCATCTAGAAAATTCTGATTAAGTCTTAAAACAGTGTCAATATTATACGGTGCATACAGAAGACAGCAAGTTAGGTGCAATATAAGAGAGAAAACAGCAGGTCAAGCAGTGAAATCAATTTCTTAATATCAGAAAATAATATACATCTTGTTATTACAAAAAAATGCTATTTAAAAAAAATAAGTGTTGGTACACTTGAGTATGTACCGGTGATATATTTGGAGCTATTCAGTGACCTGTACACAGATTTAATTCTGACTAAATAGTTGGCTTTAATCTTGGAAACAGCAATTTTACTCAAGATCTATCCACTACTTGGCTTGACCAGTATTGCTTCAGCATTACAAGATATCTTATGAATATTACAGTTTCACATTTACTAATATCACTCACTATTGCATCATCAGAAATGTAGCACTTTCACAGTACATACCCTTAAACAAATCTTTAAACAACTCAAAAATATGATGCCTGCAAGTCCAAAGTATGCCAAACATTTAGTCTAAAAACAAGTTCTCAGGCATGTTCTTGACTAAATACATGTCAGGCTTGTTGTAAAATTTAAATTACTTCTTCAGCCACTCTGACAGAAGACATCAGCATTTATTTATATATATATTAATTTATCAAATCTACAATGAACCTTACATCTACACACAAGATGTTGGCTTTCCTTATCAGAATTGAGGAAATACATTTTTAGTACAATATGAACAATTCATAACTAATATGAACTATACACTGGTACAGTGAATTCACCACTTTTTAAGATACGTTTGTAAGTACTGTGGTGTTTATGATACAAAAATAATAAACCCCACCAACCTGGGACTTTGCGTTTATGAATCGTATACACCTGGGTTACATCACAGCCTTGCCCCTCCCCTTTTTTTTTGCAATTTTGCATACTTGTGAAAAGCACCACACATGGTACAATGGAAACATTTTTGTTTTTAGTTTCAGAGGATGTTTTATTAATCCAAACAATATTCAATAAATGTTAAACATATATATTCTTGTAGTATTGAATAATCTGAATACAAAAAAAAATTGAAACCCCATCATAAGGAGTAAAACCTTTTTTTTTGTTTTTGTGCCCTGAAACCAGAGGTAATTTTTAATTTAATCCTTCTGCCTAAATCATAAATGTTTCTCTGTTTCAAGCTGGATTTAACACACAGTGTTCATGTATGGATACAGTTGCTACCGGCATATCTAAACATTCGGTATTGTGGCATATGATTATAAACAAAAACTACTAAATACTAAAGTCATTGAAATGTCAGTACGGTATGTACCTACCATAAATAGTTAACTGATTTATGTGTCTTAACCTCATAGATACATGCCCAAAATATTCCCTAGTCACATGAGCTAGAAATAACTCGTTATTTAAAGACTTAACATTTGCATAATTGGTGTCTTAACATAATCTTTATTGCAAGAAGCAAACATTGGTGAATTCTGCGTGATTAAATCAGCTAGTTATCTACTTCAGTATTTGATTTTTATAACAGAAAGATGGAAAAATCTATTTTACTGAAACGCAGTATGGGATACATAAATCTAATATACCTGTGAAGACATTTGTACAATAGATTAACAGCATTCTTTATTATGTTTTAGGGTAGGAATCAGAACAATTTATAGTGCTAGTGTGACAATCAAAAGGGTTAGGAAATTCACTCTGGAGGGATGGAATACCGCAACACTGGTAAATAAATGACCCCTTAACTTGATGGATAATCTTGTTTGATAGCTTGTAGTGGTGTGTATTAGTTGTTGGTGCATCAATCAGATGCCTGCACTTGGGGCTGATTCCCAGGATAAAAAGTTGGCTGAAAATAAAAAGACCATGTATTGTAAGACATTATTATATGTTATAAGTTTTGCATGACATGTTTTATTTGATGCAGGGCTGGATTCGATAACCCACTGTGAAGTGACATAAAGTTGCAGTGAGTTGATGGACCTTCATGTTCAAGACAAGTAGATTTCACATGTACATATGATCATCGCCCTTGATAACAAATCACGGAAACGTTTGTACTACGCAGCAGCAAATGTATTTTATAATTTCAAATTAATTATGTAGGAAACTGTACCTCGACTTCTGTTGATGGGGTTGTGTTGTTAGAATTAGCAGGACTGTCATCACTGTCGTCATCGTCATCATCATCATCGTCATCATCATCATCTTCACCTGATGAGTCTTGATCAACCAGAGGATCTGGCCCTGAAGGAAACAATAATAACATACTGTAGAAAGCGAACTATTTACTGGGTTGAATTTGACAATGAATGGATATTCACAAAGGTTTAAATTCACTGGTTTATGATAGAAACAACCATTCCATGTCTAACATTGCATATCCGTTAGAGTTTCAATTCAGCCTCCTTCAGCTGACAGCAAATGAAAGAAAAAGAAAACCCAGCCATTGAGGGCCAGTGTCAACTTTTGGCACAATCTACAAAATTATTTTTTATACAGTCTTCTTTTCTCATCACGAGATGCTGATATAAATTGACAAACCTTTTAACCAAAAACTAAAAGTAATATCTGGCACTCAAAGGGTTGAGCCTTACACACATGTACTTACCCGGATTAAAGTTGTCATCATTGGCACTTGCATTCCCACTTGATAAAAGATCATAACATTTATCACAGACCCTAAGTGGTTTTGATGACTGTTGAGGTAACAGGAACTTCTTGGTGGAACATGCGTTGCAGGCAACTTTCCCACACTTCCTACAATGGTGCTGTAGAGTAGACAATACAGTACTTAGTTGACATTTCAAAAGCAGTACAACAAACAATTCCTGATAATCATGAATTAGTCATTGAATCATAACAAAAAACATTACAGAGACAAGCAACTGCGGCCCTTTCTTTGATGTATCATTTTTGTGATGCAAATGTAATTTCAAGTTACACATACATAATCCAAGAAAATATTAATTATGATTTTTAATAAACAAATTTCAAAACAAATCACATTAAGAAAGAGTAGGTTTTGAACAAAATTGATAAATCATGTTTTTTAAACAGGTTTTAACTAGTCTGTCGTGAACATGTTACATAAACACTAGAAAAGTTGTGACGTGGAGATTGTGGACTTGTTGCAAGTGCTTACACAATAGAATATGACCAGTGTTTCCAATAAGCAAATTTGTTTTTTTTTAAAAACCATCTTGAACTTGGTGTATTTAAATTCAAAATATACATGAAATTAAAAAAAAAAACGTTTTTTTCAGAGTGCTGATTTTAACTGAGAAACCTGAGAACCTAATAGTGAAAATAAGGCCTTGAGAGAACACTCAATGTGATGTACTACAAGACGTAGCACAGAAGATCACTTTATTTCCTTAACAAATCAATAATATACTGTAAAATACTTTATTTACGCTGGGAATATATTTTCGCTATTTTCGCTGAAGGGATGATTCCGTGAAAATAAAATCCAGCGAATATACTTGTTTTCCTATATTTCCCATTAAACTCATCAAAAATCAGTGAAAATAAATTCCATAAAGAACGCCCAAAATGCCTTTTCAGCGAAAATTAATTCCAGCGAAAATAAAGTATTCCACAGTACCACAAATCAAAGAAAGCTTAGAAAGAACTCCCGTGTGCTGAGAGTTTTGGAGACACATTAAAAATTAATTATTATGCTAATTAGAGAATTAATATGAACAGATTTTAACCCAAAATTAATCAGACTGTCTATTGTCCTAGAGCAATTATGTACCAAGTTTTATTCAAATGTGATGATCAATACTTGAGATATCAGTATTAATTATGTTAATTAGATGATTAAGAAGCATAAATATTTACCAAAAACTAATATGGTGCATAGTCTTACGTTCATTGAAATGTGATGGGTACTCTTTAAAAGTTTCATTGAAATCCAATGAGTGGTTTTTAGACATCATAGAACAGCAAAAAATTAACTAATTATGCAAATTAGGTAATTAAAAGGCACAATTATTTATCCCAAAATTAATCAGGTCTCTGCATAGTCCTAGAATATCTATGTCGCAAGTCTCATTGAAATGTGATGATTAGTACTTGAGATATCAGGTGAAAAGCTGAAAATTAACTAATTATGCTAATAATAGGGAGTCATTGCCGGAAATAGACAATAGAATCTGGTCAAGTAGAGATTTCCTGTCTATCCCATTGCTGTGACTATAATTACATGCAAAATTATTCAAGACAACTGATGATGTCATAGACTTTTAAGGTCTATTGTTTAGCCTAATTGAGAGTATATTGTTATGTTAAGTAGTTCACAGCTTGGGGTTGGAAACAATAGTAAGTGAGGTAATCTATTGTTTCCTTTGTTCTGTGTCCACTTGTATTTGTCAGCTGATCATATGAAGCCATGTAATAAATGGTTGTGGTTACCAGAGAACGAGATACCCTTAGGTACACTCTTAAGATGGCATTGAAGACAGCCACCCGTTATATACTTAAGGATGCGGTAGAGTTATTTTCGTGAATTTTGCTTTTTTTGTTATTACTTTTGTAAAGTTATTGGGCTCATAATTTTATCAAAATTAAAACTGAAACACATCTAGAATACCCTTTTTTAAAAAAAAAAATAAGAAAAACTACATTTTTGTACTTGTATAACGGGATACTGTACAATTTGTTTTTGAGATAAAAGTCTGGACGCAAACAATAACATTGACTTATTGCGTAATTTGCATAATCCCTTCACGACAGAAACAGTGCACACTGAAGACGACGCGGTCATATCAACTCCGGCTCCTGATTATTGATCAATCACAAAAAAGAGGCCCCAAGGAAAAACTCAAAACGCAGTTCAGAGGAAGCGAAACTTTACCTATAACAGAAATGCATTGCCGACAGTACAATGGGGTTCACACTTTGAGTATTCAAACCAAGAGGGTAAAATTTCGTCAGCAAACATCAATTTCCATCTTCCAAAAAGTCGGGCAGACAAGTTATGCAGGGCCGCCGTGTACTGTAACAACTTCGCTTCTTTTTGGAGGACGAATACGGACCCAAAACTTTATAGTTTGGGATTTTATTACTGCAAGGCTACTAAGTGACTCCATGTTATGTGTTTTGTTGTAAAAATCAGTCCATCTGATGCTTTAAATGTCCAAAATTAGCGCAGCGCAACGTGACAAATGTTTTGTTTTTTGGCGTTTCCAGGCAGAAGAAATCTGACGCCATGGAGGTCATTCAAGTGAGTTGTGCGTCGTCAGAAATTGACCTACTTTCATGAAATTCACACACATTGATAACGTATTGGCGCAGAATAAAACCCTTGAAGCATTTTTTGAGAACTTCTCGCAATAAAAAATAAAAGGCCTTTTAAATTCCTTGTCTATGGGTGAAATAACAGGAAAAATGTAAATTGGTGTCATTGTAAACAAATATGCAATCTATGTTCTAACACTCTCGAGGCATTGACGGGGCTGATGCTGTCTTGATTTTTCAGCTTTCTTTTTTTACAGAACCCCTACGGTTTTCATACAAAACTAATTTTTATTCAAAATAACACCTCTATGTTTACTTAGTAATCACGTGACTAATTCGTGGTACATGTCACAGATCATTTTTTTCAAAAAGCCAGGAACAAGGGCTTCAAGAAAATATATAATGTGCTACGCTTCAAAACACTTTTCCTCATGAAAACAGTTTTTACTTTTTAGAGCATGATAACTCTACCGCATCCTTAATACAAAAATATGTGGACAGACTAATCTTGTAAATATCATTGTGGCAGTCAACGGCGATTGGTATGCAAATTACGTTTGTCTGACGCATTACAAAACAAAAGTCTAGACTGTCGTAGAATAATACACAACTCGCGGACAGACAGTGTGATGAAACCCCTTTTTTACAAAGAGGAAAAACGGCCGATACAATATATTGATCTTGTGGTCTGACCTTCAGCATAAAAGCAGTATGGCGATAGTGCTTCGCGTTCGAAAAGTGGGATAATTTTTAACATGGAATAACGGACATAAACTAAATCTTGATTCAGATTACTTCCTGTTGTTAATTGGATTAAAACAGTTATATTTGCTAACAACTGGATCGTACGTCTGTGTAAAAAATGCATGAATTTTAGCTCTAATTTGGGCAGCGAATACTGCGTCTACAACTGCGTTGGCTGCGTCGCCGTGTTCATTGAACCAGAGAGTATCCAGAACGAAGCGAACAAACTTGAACAGTCAGCTGCATTACTGCATTTACCTATTTTTAAAAATAGAGTTTGGCACACTGGTTTGGGCCAGTGTAGGATATATCATCAAGTTTTACGGCAAGTTGGGCATTTAATGGTGGAGTTTTGATGAAAACATCTATAACATATCGAAAGCTTGGAACGTCATCTGTCTATTACGAAGCACACAAAAGTGAAAAAATGAAAAATATAAACTAAAAATTAAATTTTGTTTTAATAGATGTTTATGCAATGCATTCTCTATGGCACATCCTGTGATGTTTATTTGACTGGGGAACACTGGCCAGGGCGGAAGTCGGCCATCTTGTCCACTCATTTCTGGCAATGATTCACATAAGCACGCCGCGGTTTAATTGTATAGAATTGTATAAGCGGATCAACGCTTAGCAGCAGTATTAGTATTTGAATTTTACGACAGTGTGAATTATTGTCTGTTCAAATGCCATAAAGCCTAAGTTTGAATGCAATCAGCTCACTTACTTCAGGGGAAAGCGAACCCATCCAATTGGTAGTGCATATAATTTCGATGGTGTTCCTCTTTCGTAGTACATAGCGTCTCCTCGCACTCCATGGCAATGCACACAGTAGCACGTATCATACTCCATACATGGCCACAATGTACTAGCTGTAAAAAAAAGACAATAATGCAATACCACATTTCTACATTTGTATTTATAGGTAGATTTGGCGATTTAAGCATGTACGTGATTGTTAAATTTGAATATGTAATGCCAACATACCTGGTAGGTGAAGTGAATTTAGATAGCGTCGACATATTTGATAGTAGCCGCAGTACGTGTTGATATTTACTATTGGTGTTAAAGAAGGCGACATATTCCAGTACGGATTGTCCATTTGTTCAATCCAATGCTGGATAGATGAAACACAAACGGCCATTGTTTTCTTTGATCTATAGACTGGCCCAGCTGTGGTGATGTTTTTTTCAGTTAAAAAAATTGGAAAAAATAGTTTTGCGAAAGGTGGGGTGAACGCAGAACCACCACAGACTGGCCTTATTTGCAGCAAATCTGTTGCTATTATTTATTCATGATATGCAGTGACATCACTGAATGGATACAGAAAAGGAGTGGGGCGTGCGCGCTGCATATAACATTGTGGGTCTTCTGTGCAGATCGCGCTTCAGATCGCTGTAACTCAGGCGAGATAAAGCTACACGCAGGCTACTTCTCGCCATTAGAATAATCTGTACGGAACGTTATAAATAGTAATTAGTTTGTAATGATTTACGATCGAGAGCTTGAAGATAAGTGAAGTCTTCAGGTACAAAGGTTAACTAGATATAGTTTAAAGGTAAAATTACTCTGATTGGATAACGTTCTTGCCTGTTATTCGGCTCATTAACATATGTTAATGTGTTCACATGTTTTGTTCAAGAATTCCGCTTTCGCTTTCGCCCCTTCAACAGTATGACCCGTGTGACTATTTTAGGTTTTAAAACGCACTTAGTCGGGCATTCACTTTTACATGTTTACTTTTACCAGTATTGTCTGCAAGCAGTCACGCAAGACGTATCCTGAAGTACATCCGGGTTCATTGTTATTGAGAGCTCAGTGGGACGGTCCCAGTTGTACCGGATATTCAAACTTGGGAACACTGAAAAATGCAACATTAACAATATGTTACGCACCTCCCCTGGAGCTGTAGTGCCATTTCGCATGACTAATACATGTCATATATGGTCATTGAAATTAACCATGGCAATAAACACATGGCAATTTGTTACATAACTATGGATATACCTTATATTATTACATGCCCTGGTCATCTCTGATTTTCATGGCAATTAGCTTTTAATAAAAATGTGTTCTTTTAAACATTAGAGCACCGAAACACACTTTATATTCTAATATGGGTAGTAGTTTTACTTCACGATTGTTGCAGTTCAATGACCAGCGCCATTATCGGTCACTATTTTTGAGTTCGTGGGGGTGTAAGGTAAATAGCGAACACGCCGGATATCAATATAAATCGCCTGTACACAACAGTCACTGTTTTACCAAGGAAAGGAAATGTATATAGCTATTAATAATACTCTAATTATAGTATGAACTTTTCACATAAATTTTCGTTGCTATGTATGTATTGCATACGTTGGACGGCATGACATATTGCTGACGTTTGTAAGGCCAGATTATCTCACTCTCAAATGCTGTACACCGGCTACATTATCGTTGCATACTAAGAGGGACAATCACAAAATAATGTGACGTTAGCGATATTTCTAGCACCCCAGCGCTGGAATGTACTTCCGTGTTTGTGTAATTCAATGCTTCCCAGAGGCGACGGCACGAAATTTTGTATGGAGGGGCGAGATATGCTCATCACCATACTAGGCGAATCCAGTGGCATACTCCCTCTTAACAATGTTGAAATCTAGACCCTCTCAAACGCTATTTCCAGCATTTTGAGGAGCAAATTGTGCTGACAAAAAGGGTTTCAGTTTGATTTTCGAGGAGGCGACGCCCCCCCCCCCCCACATTTTTAACCCCCCCCCCCCCCGTGCCGCCGCCATTGACTGTAACTCAAATTTACGCTTGACAATCTACTCGACTTGAAA